TAAATTGAAATTTTATATAAAAAAAAAAATCTATGAAAGGTAATGAGATTATTAGACTATGTTTGTTAAATGGGCCCATTTACATATTCTCTTATTTTACTCCTTGTTTGTTATTGCTCTATTGGAATCGTTTTTCACCGCTTAACTTAGAGAGATTTTTTTTCTCTTTTCTTCTTTCCTCTCCATCACCCTCCATACTGAATCTTTACCATGTTTCCTTATGTCAAATGGCCTATCATGTTATATTTCACTTATATATTCCAGGACTTTGTTTTATAGTTTATGTCACACTTTCTATGAAGAATGTGGACTTTGTTCGTGCAACTGAATACCACACTTTGTTTTTGATACGCTGTTTGTTATTTTATCCAACTTTATGTCACACTTTCTTTTACAATTATGTTTAACGATACTTTCGATAACCGTTAATTTAACTTTTAAAAGCTGTCAGACATATTAAGTCCTTAAAATGTGTTGTTTTCACTGCAACATAAATAAACTGCATACCCATGGAAGAGCAAATCGAAAAAATATATCCTTAATATTAATCTTTTGCCATTATTTTATTACACAAAAGGCTTATTTAAGATACATGTAGAAATTAATAAAAGATGGTTGTTAATTTAATTTTGCCATGTTAGATAAAATCTTGATTTCATCTTAGTTGTTTCCTTTAAAACACAGACCCTAATTAGAAAAAATAATATTGAGTCAATTATTTTAAAACTGCTATGCTTGTATAAGCACACCAGTGAGACACATAAATTTGCGCTGATAGGAGCACTTGTAGAATCAAAACGACATTCAGATAAATTAAATATTCTGGGAAAGAAAGAATACTCGGTAGCAATAAAATGAAAAATCTAGTTTGATTTAAACCTTATTTGTTCATGATGAAACATGTACTTTTGCTTAACTTATATTTTATCAATAAAAATTTATGCTTAGTCAAGCTGGGTGGGGTGAGAGGTAAACTTAACGATTTTTCTTTTTACCTATATAATAAGTGGCATTTCTATGTATGATGCATAAATATTTTTTGACTACGTGTAGTTATACGTACAACGGCTAACTCGAATGTTAGGCATCGGTATTTTTTTTATATTTTTACGGGAATTATTGATTTGTTATCGAGGAAAGTCGGTAAGACGAACTCGGCATAAAAATACAAACAATAATTAACGAACACGATATATATCAATAGAATATAAAATTATTGACACATTCAGTATTGCAGTTACCCGATGTAAATGTAAAAATAGAAATAAACACATTACATGAAAAGGTAGGATGTGGTTATATACAAAAATCGCTCAACCATATAACTATTTAAACGTCGATTCAATTTGTTTTATGTATGTCGTATTGGACACAAATTTATGTGAGGTATTTTGAAATGGTTAACTAGTTGTTTAAGAAAAAAGCTATATTATTTGTTGAAACAAGGATATCAATGATGATTTTATTCTTTTTCCTCCTTATGATATGTTGTATAGATGGTAAGTAAACTCAGGTTATTTATGTCATAGGCGAATTAAACAATAAAAATGGGTAATTTATAAAGCTAATCGATTCAAACCTTCACTGATTAATGTTAAGATGAACTATTTTGGGAAATCTTTTTACAACATTGCATCATACTGACTTGTTTTCTCATAATACTAAAACATGAAATTGCAGTTAAGTAACTGATATTGAATATGGTAATACTATCTATGTTAAAAGCTAATGGAACTATTATTACACTAAGATATTTATTTCAGATTCAAACGGTCTATCACGACTTTGTGGCAATGAATATAAACCAGGTACGTTCGCGATAAATGCCCATTCATATAAACATTAAGATATATACATATATATTCATAAGCTAATATTTACTTTTCTTTGAAAATAATGAGCTACCATGTACTATCTCTTAAATCTCGTAGTAAATCGAGTGTGTTTCAAGTTTTGTAAGCAGTACGTTATTAAAAGACGCATACGTGTATGTTAAGATACATAGGGCCCGATATCGAGATAATGCACCCGTTTACGCTTGCTTTATAATACTTTAAAGATGTACACACTTCTAATGCATCAATTACGACAGATATAAAACAAGATAACAACTTGAAAAATGTGCTTTTTTTCTCGAAAAGTCCGTCATAAATATATAAATGTAACGCGAATATTGGATATCGACAGTATTAGCTATAGATAGCAGAGAGATAATGTATTAAAGTGTGCATGTGTTATCAATACATGTCCCCTCCCAATCCACACGTTTGGATTCTTTGTATTAAGATCAATGTTGCACTTCAAATTTTGTGTCTGTTGAATATCTTTTGAACCTTCGACAAAAATGTTAATAATAATGAGCAATGCCATTCAAAAGGATTTTGAAGTGTATACTAAGGTGAGAATACTATGTTAATCATTGTTTATGACTTGTAAATTATAGAAAGTGATAATATTCTGTCAGTACCTATATTACAATTCCATACTATGCATATTAATCTACCATATATCACAGACCTGAGGCAGCAGATCATGCCCAACACAGAGAAAGTATTGTTTGTTGTTGTTTATGATCATTGGTGTCAAAATGTTTGTTTCCTTTCGCGGAATAAAACAACAATTGCAACACGGAAATAAATAAATAAAAATGCAAAATAAATACACTACTAATTTCTATTAGAAATACGTATACTGCTGGATAAATTTACATTCAAAAGTATGATATCTAATCTAATATTTCTTATACGTGTCTTATTTTGTTACATCTAGCTGTAGAAATATGCACCAATGGCAATTTGATGTCACAAAAACTTGTCTACATAACAACTAGAGTTCCGAAATTTCAGCAGACACTTTGTAAGTGTTCGATTACTTCAACTTCTTCAGACGTCGATATTTCATTCTCTTTCGTTGATGGCATTGTTCCTCAAAGCTTAAGCTTTGGAGTCAACGATAATGTCTTAAAGTCAGGACAGCAACACACGTTCACAATGGAGGATCGAAGTTTAACGCTTTCTGTCCTTACAAATGATAATTACACATATGAAGGTGCTTGCTTAATCGTTTTCTCAGGTATGAAGATAACGTCAGGTAACTTCTACATAGTATTTAACTGTATAAATAAGTTATGTGTTGCACAAGGTGTCTGGTTTATAAATGATTTTGAATGAAATTGGAATCCCATTATTAAAAATAAATGTACGAGTCCTAATAATGCTCTTTTTTTACCTAAAACATGTCATTAAGTCAGTATTATCTGCAATCATATTAATCATTTCAGCGCATTTTAGTTGCAAACTTTTATGTTGCAAACTTATGCGTCAATATTGTTACTTATGAAGGCGTCCTCAGAACTAGCACATGATAAAATAATTATTCCTAATATTTAAAATTTTATAAAATGTTGCATTTTACTGTTTCCGTGGGGTAGCAGCAAACGCTTTTTATCTTAGAAGCTCTTAGTTTTTCGTTTTCATTTCGTTACTACTGTATGCTATACTTCTTGCAACTTCAGTTAAGCTATGTTGATAACTTCCCGTTATTATATTTCATAATGTTTTTTTTTATTAATTAATGAACACGTACTTTATAAACAAAGATCAGATGCATAGCGACATTCAGATAATGCAACACCCCGCCCCCTTCCCCCTATAAATCCAGTTTAGTTTAATAATATTTTATTGCATATTTTGTACATGATTAATTCACACAATCTAACATCAATATCTTAAGCATGAATATAATGTACATACAAAAGGGTTGGACCAAAAGTTATACCAACATTATCTAGGGTCCTCCCCTGAAGGTCTATCTTGTTGGCTTAATGGTAACATAGTAAGTAAATGTGGTTTTTAGAAATTCTGAGATATTTGTTTATATGATAAGCGATATTAATTTCATGTATTTTAACTGGTAGAAAAGAATCGCTTAACCTGAAAACAAAGAAAATTACAAAATGACTTAGTGAGGTAAAATGGAAAAAAAAATATATGCCATTAACTAAATCCAGTCACACTGGACTATCGCAAAGACACTTATTGGGTCACCGAACAAAAAGCAGGAGAGGACACAAAGGCCGTGACATGGAGTGGTCAAGCCAATAAAAGGATAACAATTGACAACAAGATAAAGAAACCCTTAAAAATGTCAAAGTCATAAACAATAATAAAGGCAAGAGAAATAGCAAAATTGTATAAAATTGCCAAGGAAATATCTGTGACTAATAAATATGAGTGAGCATCTTCGAATCTTTTTGCAGTTTTGACTAAAAAAATATAAATAAGTTTGCAAAGTACAAGTTTGCAACTAAAATGCGCTTGAACATATTAAAACTTTATTGGAACATGCAAATTAAATTTTTTACACAGTTTTGACAGAAAAATATTTGTTCTTGTTCTGTGACTTTCAAAACTTAAAGATGTGAATAAATTAGCAGAATATCCGACTAGAATCGTCACCTATCGAATCGCAAAATTTGTACATGACCAGATTTTTTTTTCAATAACTTCGTCAAATCAGAAACTAGGAAGCTGAAACCTTAAACTAAATGTGTCATAAACATTTTTTCAAAATAACATACAATATGATAAACAAGATCAACAAGGAAAGGCGGCGTTCAATGAACCCAACCCCCAAACGACCTAGCAACAAGAACCAGTGGCAAGGAACCCAGACGGACCCCAAACAAAAACGGGACAGGGCACAAGGCAGAGCACGGACAGGCTAATCACTAAAATGATAAATATTATAACCCACCTCCCTTGAGAAAATACGTCCGAGTGTTGTAAATATTCATGTCTCGGTAGCCATTTTGTCAAGTTTGCAACCATTTTTCTCGCTTGATCTAAGTGTGCAACCACTTCACATCCTGCCCCTTGACATTATATCTTTACTATGTACTCTATTTTCCTCATCAAGAACACAAGAGTTATTATGAAATGTGTTTTTTCCCTGATACCATATTTCTTACACAATGCCAATATCCAAAACTATATTTTCAGATACTCTTTTCAACGTTATATGCGAACCAACGCAAAATAAATCATCAACGTCAATAACAACGTCAACGTCATACCCTAATTCAAGTGTTGGAAAGGACAAATATATCAATTCAACTGACAAAGACAAAGATAACATCATTAGTATGTATTCAGCGATAAGAGAGAAGATTAGCATTCAAAGTGTCTGGTTTATTTGCTTATTCATATTTTACTAACACGCATAATCCTGTAAACAGCAATATTGCTGAAAGTATATCGATACAACTATTAATGATGATACAACATTCTTTGCGATCGCGTATTAACAAAGGCACGTTCACTGACTGCAATAGCATCAATAAACATTTATATATTTTGAACTCGAATACATTATTCTCTTTAATGTAATAAAGAAACTTTCAGATTTCATCAGCACCAATGAAGTTACCACTGCTTTATCTTAACGTACATGCAATATTATCATAAAAGCAATGATTTGTATTTCAGTACCAGTTGTGGCGGCCTCTATTGCTGCTTTAGTCTGCAGGGCAGTTGTTATACTTATTGTTATAATTTGCAGAAGGTTAGTTCGATACTTGTTCATATAATTTTCATATATTGTATTCCTCATATAGCTATGATATTCACATTTTGTGGAACAAAATAAGATTGAATTTTTTAGAGATGATCAGAAGTTATGGAGGCCGTTTTGTGATATAGTTTTCATTTCATTGTATCTGTTGAATAAGGTAACTCGAGTGTGTGAAAAAAGTGTTAAATTCTTACGATAAAGTTGTTGTTTTTTTTCAAGATTTAAAATTCCTCTTTTCCAGAAGATCTACTAAAAGAAATAAACTGCCAAAAATAGCCAACCAAGGTGTCACAAAGAAACATAATGACGATGAAGATGACGATTATTACATGACAGAAAATCCAATGTACCAAACAGCAGATACAAAAAGGAATATAGATAATTCAGATAATGAGTATCATTATGCAGAATCTGCTAAACATAAAAAACAGATAAATACTGCCGATTTAAAATGTAACTCTGATTTAAAACAGTTTATCAACAAAGGAAACAATCACGACCATTCAACACGTGTGTCATCTGGCCAGAAAAGAAATCCAACTGTAAAAGCCAAACCAGCGGACGCTAGGCAAAACAATAATAATTCAGCAGTCAATGACAACACGTATGATACAACTAATGCGGCTACTGTTCAACCATTCCAAGGATTTAATGAATATCATCATTTAAGTAACGCAGGAACAGTTAAAGTAGCGGTTGTTGATGTATACAGTACAATTGGTAATGCAAGCAAGTTTCCTGGTCACGAAGTCGAGGAAGACGTTTCCCATTATCATGTCGCAAATGCGCGATAATACTGACATATTCTTTTTACAATCCGACATATTTGTTTTTAATATATTTGTATATTTAGTAAAGATTATTTAGAGCTCTGTCTCTTATCTACATTCCCACTTTAATGTTTACTGAATTTTAAAACATATATGTAGATATTAAAAACGCAAATTATACCCTTTATCTACATGAAACTTGAAAATTCGATTACGCGCTTACCTCTACGTATGTTCAATGGTGTTTTACAATATCTAAAAGGCATTAGTATTAGTAAATAAAATTACTCACCATTATACATTAACATCATGTAATGAAAGGTATAAAAACAATATATTTATTTACCATTCAGTAATTATATACAAAATCTCCTATCCACAGTTCAAAATGCTACAGTTTATAGATCACAGTATATATCTGACAATAAAAAAGGAAAAGAAGAACTTAAATACGTACGTTTCAATGTTTCTTAAACATTTGTACAGATTTGATTTGTCTTTGGTCTCTAGGTAGTTTATTTCACAATTTGGCCTATTATCTGAAAAAGTCTTATTTCTATTAAATGGCAATACATAACATCCAACAGTTGACTGCGAGGTTCTTAAACAGCCTTCTGTGGTTTGGGGTGTCAGCAGATTGGGTAAGTTGGTACATTTCCTACAGAGCAATTGTTCATATTCCCTAGGATATTGTTATTTACGAATTCTAATGAGAAGCCAGTGTAAATCGAAAAAGTGCTTGTTTGGAGCTATCAAATTTTGATATTGATTACTCTTTTTTTAATAATTTTATTTCATTTGTAAAATTCTGCAATGTATTCTATTTTTAAATGTGGTGTCATTTTCCTTCCTGTTTTCAAATAATTGTCTATGCCCACTGACACTGGCGCTGACAGAATTAAACGATAGAAAATGATATGTTTTAATTTGTATCAAAATCCGCAGATGTATTCCTAAGATAGTGATCATAAAACATTAACTTGCCATTCAATGTCAATAGCATAATTACGGTTCAAAATTGTAAAAAATGAAAAATTAAACTGTCTTAGGTAACCTTATCTGTTATCATAAATATACGATATAGAATTAATTGACGGTATTACAGTAAGTTTTAAACATCATTCCTTTGATTGTAAAGACCACTGACAACATCGACGTTTCCGATTTCAGTGTACTCACTGTCAGTAGCGTCTCAAAACATTTCAGTCAACTATATTATTTTCGCCAGTTTGCTGGAACACCAAATGTTGGGTAAAATCATTTGGTAAGTCTGGATTATCATTATATGCTTCCATACTTTGCTGTTCATCATTCGGTGCACGTTTTTGTACCAGCGAATATAGAGGGGACTCATTTTTGTCCATTATGGGTTCAGTCATGTTATACAAAGGATTCTCTGTCATATAGTAATCATTATCACCTCCGTCGTTTCTTGCAGATGCTTCATTCTCTCCCTGTGATAGTTTTGGTGTCCTCACTTTTTTCGTCTGTTTATTGGCTCCCCTGTATATAATAAATGATAAATTCAAATACCTAGTCGACATTACAATGAAATTTCAACTTTTTTTAAAGATCTACTACGCACATTTATCCGGTAAAATGCCTTCATTACAGATATTTGTTGGTATATTGGCATTTCATTTTACTGAATTAGTCTATTTTGAATAAGAGATTGAACAAACCATGTTTAGGAAGCGGCTTTCCCTATAACTGGACCAGTAAATTAAGTACTTTATTTTTTCTTTAACATGTCATTTATTTTTATAATACTATACATGTATGTATTCGGTTTAAATATATTTATTTAAGCCCGATTGCAAAACAAGTTCTTGCAACTTATACGTATTTCTCACTTTTAAGTCCGCTTCCTGGATCCAACCAGTACCGCTGTCATATGAAGAAACATGGTCGTGACCCGATTATGGCTCGAAACCATGATCTCTGAGTTTAGAGGCAGATACTAATCATATTGAGTTTATCTGGAGTTTGTATAAATTAACACGTAATGTATAATCTCTTGTGTTTACAAAAAAATATGTTTATTTTACCTTAAAAAGATATTATGTAGCATTTTTCAGTATTTTCAAATATCAAATTAAGCATCATACATCTTTAAATAAAGACAGTTTTTCTTCCTGATTAAAGTTTAAAGGATTTTTTTCTGGTTCTTCGGGATCACTGATGCCAACATTATTAAGTGTTGAGATTTCAGCACCGCTCAAGCCGGTGCTAGGGAGTGAGGGATGTTGCACTTTTCTTTATCCCTCATGTACAGTCTCAGTCAAACCGAGTCTGCAATTTTCATGTAATTTTGTTGTGATTTATGCTCCAGAGGGATCACTTTGTTTCCAGATTTTTTTACTAAAATGCATGACATAGAAAAAGTATATTCTGAACAAAATAGCATCATAAATCATCTTATTTGATGTAAAATTAATTTTTTTTTCTTTGTCATATTGTTTTGCATTCTTTTGAACAATTGTGCATTCTTTGTGCACCTCTAAAACTTTCAAACACGGATATTAGTATATATCAAAACAGGGACAACAAACTCTTGAAATAAACAAAATCAACCTTTTGTAGCAAATTATAAGAATTGCAACAAGTTCCACAATAACACAAACAATCCCGCCAGTAGCGATACCTAAAATATATTGAAATATTAGTTATATCAATGTGTTTCCAAAACCAGCTCATTTTCTTCAGTAAGGGTTGAGTTAGCACTTTCTGTTTTGTTTAAGATGATGTCTTGAAATTTGAAATAAACGTTTTTACTTTCCCACGAATATCTCAAGTAAAAAAGTGAAACGTTGCTATTCAATAATGCTGGTGTTACATTGCATTTACATTTATTTCTCTGACGTGGCGGTACATCGGAAGTTTCTATGAAAACTTGAGTAACCATAGTTACTTCCGAGTGTTTGCAGATACGAACAGCTGAAATAATATGCATGGTATAATGAGACACACGATTAAAAGAAATAGAAAATATACAAAAGTAAAAAGATAAAGAAAACAAACAACGACTTATGTGTGTTCATGCTTCAAGTATAATTTGTTCAAATTTGGAACAAACATTAATTCTAAAATAAATCACTAAGCTCTAGTACATTTGATTATTCCCTCATCCTTAGTACAATTGTAATTTTATAACTAAATGATGATGAAGATGTTAAAATGTATTTTATGTCATAACATGATTAGAATTATGTAAAGTTAAGTCGCGTTACGTGTTCCCCTTCATGCATTTCATTGAATGTTCATGTTGAATTTATATAAGAAAAAGTCAGCGGATCTGTCTTGTAATTTTACAGGTCAGAATATTTTTTTTTTTAATTAGTAAATATTTAATATGGGGCCGTAGAATAAAATTTAATTCTTGTTGAATACATTACCTGGAGTTCTTCTACCGCATTGACTCACGTCACCATTTGTTTCTGTTTGATAGATAATACAATCATATATCATGAACGAACAGTTGCCACGTGATTTAAGCTAGGGACATAAATCTTAATCACCAAAATTGAGATAACTTGCTAATCTATGTAGATTCCAAAATAAGAAAATGATTGTTCTTGTGACCAACGTAAAAACTTCATATCAGGAAATAAACTTTTGTTTTTAGTTGTCAACAGTTACTAATACAGAATGGGGAAAAAAGAGATAAGTGGATGCTTTCTTAAAAATAAGGAAGTTCATGCATAAGGTTTTATCAAGGAGGATAAAATGTTAGATATAAAATTTTACCAGATGGTCAGCTCATAGAATAATGCATCAAGAATAAGGAAATTAAAATATGAACATGTTTTATATCATTGCACCCTCGTATGTGTTCATTTAAATATTGTAGAAAATAAAGTGATCAACATTGATTCTGATAATAAGATATTTTATAAAAATTAAATAAAAATAAACATATTTTTTAGTTTATTTTTCTATTGTTGTTTAGTTAATTCGTTAGTTAGTTAGTTATTTCATTAGTTAGTTAGTCAGTTTGTTAGTTAGTTAGTTAGTTAGTTTGTTTGTTTGTTTGTTATGTTTTAAAAAGACTTGTCCAGCTTCCGTTTTTGGAACTGTCCAAGTAAAGGGATATCAAGATACAGGTTAATCACTTTTGATTTCAGCAGAGTAAGGGTTAGCTCGTTTTTGGAACACTATGTTATGCTCTTCAAATATTGGAGGAAATAAAAGAATATACATATTGCAGTCAGAGCGATTCTGCCTATTTATGTCATCATATCTTCACACGTTAAAGCTTGGCGTTATAAACTGATGTCACCAACGTGGCAATTAATACAACAATTGTGAAAAGAAATAAAAATTGAGAGAGATAACTTGCTCATAACTTTACATTGGCAAAAGTGCCAAATGAATTCGAACATTACTATAAAAATTGTAAGAAAATTGCATTATTTTAGACAGAAAAGATAATAAAAGTGGAGGAAATAAAAATGCCTAAAATAATTAGGGGTGTAGTAGCCAACCTCATACACTTGTAACAAATACTACAGATAGATTCACTGCCGTTAAAAACATTCAAGGATCAAATACTATCTTATCAAATTAGAGATACAATTGATAATTTTGAGAAAGGTGCGGTAATAAAAAAATTACAATACTTCAATAATAGAAATATCTGGTAAAATAAACAAACATTGAAAAAGGTAAACCACTATTTGAAACCAATACACCAGCGTTTTTGTCACTTGCATGTTTAAACGTTTCTGTTTTACAATAATCACACATCTACTGCTCATTGCATTAACATTAACAATTTTAAACTTGTACAGTGTGATAATGTAATAACTATTTCATCCAATCATGTAAACAATTCATGTTAATTGCGTAAAAGTTCAAAAGATGATACATAAAACTTCTTTGTAAGCTGGGTAAAGTATATCATAGGAGACTAACAGAAAAAGAACAAGCAACATTATTGTCATATTATACTTGCTAGTATGAAAAATATTCTTAAAACTTTATTGCCTTAGTATAAGATTATTTTTCTATAGATAACAAAGTCGGGCGTTATCATAAGCGCTAGAATATTAATGCGGATTAAAGTGAAACTTGATGTTAAGCAAGACTGTTTTTAGAAGGTTAGCACGACTACTTATACCATCACTAACTCACTTGAAAATCGTTTTTATCCTTGTATGAAATAGCTATGACGCCGGTGTCAGGAATTATAGTAACACCTTAACATAATGACCTGCGATCATTATTTTTAAGAATGGTGATTTCCTGGACATAATATTATGACTTAAGTTTAATAAGGGATGTAGGTCACGCGAAATATATTTTATTTCAAATATGAAATAAAAGTTGTCACTGTATCATCTTTATTAATAAATGGGGATTATTTTTATTTCTTATTTAGCGGAAGTTCTATTTCATAACATGTGTCATTATTAAATAGAATGGAATCATTTCCCAAAAGAGTTATGACCGGGGTTAATATTTACATGTTTCTGTGAGGGACTCATTATTTTTCAACAACACTTAGTATTTATTAGGAAATGGATAACTTTTTCACAGTATAATGACCGGCATGTATGTTTTAAAAAAGTTCAGTTTTGACTATATGATTAAAAATTCACATGTGGGTCTGATTCCCGGGCCGGCCAACTTAAATTAATAATCAGTCTTTCGGACGACACTTTTAATCGAAATCCCGTGTATAAGTGCTCAAACACTTGGGATGTTAAAAAAACAGGAGAAACTTGTATCTTGCAGTATCCTCAAAATCTAAAATGACTAATACTCTTATGCAGGACTAGAGATAAATAAACTCAAATAAACACACACATTTATGGGCAGTAAAATTTAATTGATTTCCCTGAACTGGAGTAGCTATGTATGGACAAGAAAACGATATACATAGAATATATACAAGATCTTTTCTAAGTATTTATAAAATGTCTTTTCAACATTTTCATTAGAAATACTTGATTGAAAATTCATGGATTATACATGCATATCAAAACATAACAGTTTTGAGTCGGTAAAATAATCTCTTTTTGATATTTCTTGCAAGAGAAAATTACTGTTTTTTACCTGATTTTTATGGCATTTTGAAGAAACATTTGAACACTTGTTTTACTTTTCATTCTGTCAACAGAATTACTAAAAGCATTTGGTGTTTCTAATTATTAAATATATCACCTTGTCACTTGAGTGATTATTTTTTATGTACAAATGTTTAATACAATATTATACCAATGATGGTTTAATCTTTCTATAACTTATTCAAATAAAATTCCTGAAACTATGTTGATGCCATCGTTTGGTCTATCCAGCTAGCTTACGGAACGTTGGCGGTTCTACTCAGGTGCCCGTTTGTGCCTGAAATAATGTACTGAGAGGCATCTGAGATCCTTTTTCACCAATAAAGCTGGAAAGTCGCGATATGATCTCTACATTGAGACTTTATTTGATTGATTGTTTGGTCTCTGTTCTTCAACCGCCCGATGCCTGAAATATACAAGATACTTGATCCATCATTACAACTCTTATTTTAATAGGAAATCATGATAAAATTAATGCATTGTAATGTTATGGATGGGATGTAACTTTATTATAAGCAACACATGTGCAATTGTGAACATATTCTAGAGCATCAAAAATATTTACAAGTTTCGAATTGGCCGCATTCTTTTTCAGTCTTTTCTTTTGTCAAAAATAGATCGGGTACATAAAATAGAAGATATATGATGATCTTAGTCAGTTCCTCTTGTAGATAATATGAATGTTTCAAAACTTTATCATTGAAATGTTACATTACATGGTCATCCGCTTTTTGAAAAATCGCAAAACTGAAAATTTTGTATCTTCTAATCGTTTAGGGATGATAGCTTGACACCAAGAACACATTGATTTATGAAGAACTGTTATAAATCTTAGATATCACAATCGCATTCTTATAAATCTAACAACTCGTACTGCAAAAACTGTGAATTCAATAACACTGTTTAAGTAATTTAATTTAATAATTTACGCATTATCGATCATAAAGAATTTGTACTGAAACCTTTACCTCATACTTATTATCCAAATGATTCTTATTCGTATTTTAAGCATTGGTCTGGAATTAAACAATTTTTGACCTTATTATCTTTCATAACCAGCCGTAAAAGTTGTTTTCTTATACATGATGATAACTGAAACCACTTTAAATTCTAAGCTATTCATGATGAAAATTTTATTATAATAAGTTAATTTATAAATACTATGATTAAAAAGAGTGTCAGTCGGTTGAATGAATGAAAATATCTTAGCTCTACATTACAAAAATACATAGAATTTTTGTTTGAACGAAATAAAAACTTTAAAATTTTGTATAGATCTACAAGTACTTTTCTTTGTCATAAATTATTTGTATTTTTCTTTGTCATTGTTTAATCATTAGGCCGTAATGAAAAAAAAGTATACATGTTTCCTTTTGGTGTATGTAATTTTCTCTAGATAAGGATATTATCATTATAAATCCAACTTCATCATATCAATTTATTATAGATGTTTCATAGGTGTTCATGGAATCTATCAGATTATTTAAGGTGTTGCTAAATACTTCTTACAAAACTCTTGATAACACCTTTTAAAACACATTTAGCTTACACATATGTATCTTAGCCCTATTGTTTCACAAGTTCTAGCGTTCATTTAAGTCACGCGTAATTCCGATGTCTGGTTTAAAGATTGCTTATGTCGATATGAAAAAAATAACTCATGTTCCTAAATCTTAGGTAACGCCGTTCTTAATATGTGTCAGTTGTCTTTTTGTAGCGTTTCGTGCATCTGATCAGTTGCGTTAGTTTTATAACTTTCATATTCATTTGACGAGTTTTCACGAGACAAGCCGTCACAAATACTATCAGGCGTATTGTTATGCTCTTTTTCCAAACTGTTTGTGTCCGACTGTCGGTGACTAAAGTTTTGAGTTTTTCTGTAAAGAAATAAAAAGAATTACCGAAATAATTATAATAAACACCATAAGGACCCGTCACCTATTTTTAAGACGGAACGTTATTCTTGCGATATACTTTGAATATGACATACCTATACCGTAACACATAATTGATTTAACCATAGGAGAAAAAGCAATATTTGAATTTACCATTAAGATAATGGTGTTGTTACAAAAAAATAAGCATTGGGGAATTTTCAAAATAGCTGCTTACATTTGATCAGAATAAAATACAAATTGAAACGAAGAAAAATTATTCCATTGTTGATTCATTTGTTACTCCGCTGTGTTATAATTAATTGTTTTTTGCTAAAATTACAGGAGAAATCTCACGTGCCTTTTGGCACAGCCAAAGTACATTCACGTGATTCAGGGGACGGAAAATATACCACTTTGTAATCTCTATTGTATGCAACGATTATGTTTTATTCTTTCTTAAGGATTACGGACCCTAATGGGCACTTTCAAGAATAACAAAGAAACATTTCTTTTTCAAATATATAATATTTAAGCATGTTATTGCAGGATTTTTAACATCTTTTACCATCTACAACTCTAGATATTTGTGTTTCAATATGGTCACCCTCAATTTCGGAAAGTGGAGAAAATAAATGAAGACCTAACAGTAAAATAACAAGGTCTAATTTTTCAAAGCTATAATTTTTTAGACTATCTAATATGTGTTTTACTAGTGTACTTCCATCATTCTATGAAATAATAATACAGAAAACTAAAATATCTTTCATATTTTTTTTTTTCAGTATCAAAATGGTTTCAAAACGGTGCTCGGACATGCATTTTTGTTTAAAAATTTAATCCAAATACCAATTTTTAACATTTTTTTAAAAAAATTTATTTATATTCAAAAAAATAGAATAGATTAATAATTATCTACATTTATTTTAGGAAACAAATCACCAATTTTTAAGAGATTTTACCACTGGCTAATTTCATTGTTTTATAGCTATTCGAACAAAACATGTGTCAATTTTCAAATAGTCCGAAATTGTCGAAATATTCATATCTGATACAAAAAATGTACATTTATAATTTCAAACTTTCTTTTGAAGTAAGAACTTACATAACAAGTTACCTGATAGTTGTCAGAACTATCAGTTAAATTAAAACACCGTTAGAATAGATTTTAATATGTGTTATTCATATTTATAAAAGGTAGTTCTCAACCTCAGCAACAGGGAAAATAAAGATAAGACCTAAGCCACAAAAAGAGGTCTTCTACCATTCTCGACTATTTTCACTCAAAGACAATCAAAATATGAGTTTTCCTTGTGTTTTATGGAGTGATACATTAACAATATGAATAAATAATGTTAAAACTAAAAGTGTGTTTATATTTTAACTACTTCTCAGCTAATCATGCACACTTCGATCAGTGCAACGGAAATTGCATTTTCCATAAAAATTGAACACGCATTTTGTAATTTTTTCCATTCTTAAAAATCTGTTAAAAGTTCAATCTCACATAGAAAAAACATTGAGTCATCTTTACGCATTTTGAAGAAATTAATCAATAATTACTAGAGACTTTTTCTACTATGGCAATTTCATTTAATAGCTTACTCAAACAAAATAGATTTAGGTTTTTAATTTTTTTTTTTTAAATATTCATCCCTGAAAGAATCTTCTGTATCATAGATTTTGAACTACTTTTTGCAGAAAGAAATTTAGCAAGATTTTCTGTTAAGAGTTTTCTGTAACTATTAATGAACATGTAAAAACACAATGACACCGGCTTAATCCAGGAATATATAAAAAAATGACATTTGGTTACCGATTTTCCATAATGCCAAATAAAAACCAAAAATTATCAATGTCTGTTATCATGACCAAAATGCTAGAAACAAATGAAAGTTACAAATATCACTGAATATAAAATGTTACAATAGAAAAATAGAATAAGTACATAAAATTACTATTTTATGATATATGACTGGTTATATGACCTTAATTGTTGGTACATTAAATACTAACCAAAGCTGCTTCAAGTTATATTAGCAACTTTTCAAAAGTTTTTACAACAAAATTGTAATAATGAAGAATATTGTTTTTATGTGTCAAAAATTATATTCATTACAAATCTTTTGATAATGATTTTTAAAACAACAGTACAATAATTAACAAAATACTGTATTACAGAATTACTCACCTCATTATTTCCTTAAAATGTTCAACAAGTTTTGGTATAACACTTTAAGACTCTTTTAGTGTAGTTACACGTGGCTGGCCTTCAGAGTTCTTACATGTAAGTTATATGCAATCCTGTCCTAAGATATATTTTCTCAACTATTCAAATTTAGACCTACTGGCATATTTTCAGCTGTGGCCAATTTACAAATGCCACAAGCAACAATACCTTGTAAAATGTACCAGATTTTTTTGCCTTTTCTTGGGCTGATAAAAAGGTTAAAGTAAACAGCCCTTGGAGCAAAAGTCAATTTCCATAGGTCTTGTACAGATATCAATGAGCAGCTTGAGAAAGTATTTTAAACAAAGCTGTACATCATTTTGCGGCATTATGTGCTTATATGCTATATTGTAATAGTCACGAGCAAGGTAAATTCCTGCTTATATGAAGGTCTTCCCTGGGTTGGCATAAGGCTGAAATAAGGCACAGGAGTCAAAAACCTTCTACATGTGGGGGCAGTTACAATAACATTACTGTATTTTATCAAGCACTGTATAAGACAGTCCAAGCACCATTGATGTCAACTTAATCAACAACAGTCCCGTTATGTCAATAAAATGTCACATTGACTGTTTATTCCTGTCGCTTGCTGGGCACTGTTGAATGGCATCTTGGGCTGTAATATAACAGAATGTTTGTCCTATGCCACTGTTCAACCTTGGGCAGCAATCTGCGTTATGTGGGGCATTTGGCCAACACGACTGAAATTTAATTACTTCAATTTAACTGAACAGGATATTCTATTTACACATCTAATTCCTTTTTTCTTTTCATATACAATTCGCTCATACTTTGAAATCAAAATGAAAATAAATAAGAGCAAAAATTATTTAACACTTATTATTACATGTGCTAAAGAATTCTACTTCACGTAACTTCCTGTAGTCTCTTAAATCAGTGCATATCATGTTGATCGGGTCTGATAGAGGTGCTATGGGTTTTCAAAGTCACCAGTGGAACAGCATCAGGTATCCCTCTCTACATCAATTCTCCTCCTTTCTTTCAATACCTGAAATCATTATATTAATTTTTACAATTATGATTTATAATTACAATACTCAATTAACATCATGATCTAACTTTTTTTTTAAACATTTAATAGTTTATCTGCATATGTATGTCATGAACTAAAAGTCTTTTAGTACCTGACTGATAGATGGCGCCTCTAGTTGCTTATAGCACTTTCATCGGAGGTTTTGACGTCTTAAAATCTAAGAAACGACCATTTTTACTGATTGTTGATAAAATCTCCACAAGATCCAATTTTTCACATGGGATTTACAGCTATGCATAAATTAAATCTACCTTGAAATCACTTCCTAGCTACCTATAAGATCCTGATATATTCAAACTCCATAAAATTCATAAGCACAGCATGTTTGAAGTGCTTACACACATGTTTATACTGTGCACTGGATGCGTGACATAGCAATTGCAAATTGACGTGCTAAAATAGTTTACACAACTTGATCAGAATTTACAAACTGAGGCTGTCATAATTAATTTTAAGTAGATTGTATGGAGGTTCTAACTGTACCTCTTTACCCTAGAGCAATTATATGTTATTAAATATACTATGATATGAAATTAGGAAGATCATTTAATAATAACTATTTATTCATTAACGAATCAACAAACCAGCATTAATGGCTTTCATGGAAATTGATTACTCACATTCATCAGAGCTTTTACTTTCGCCATTCAACTGAATCTTCAAATACATGTTTGAGAACAGACGCTATTTATTTTGAAAATTAATCATTTATATTTATATTCAATATTACCAGTATGTAACATTGTAATTAAATCCAAGTTACATTTTATTATTAGTTTTTACCTTACCAGTAAACATATTACAAACCTCTAATCATAAATTATTTTTTAGCAAGTTTGGTAATTAACTATGGGCCATTAGATTTAAATTTTGTACTTTTGTTTATCATTTCAGTGATTTTATTTTGCTTTAGACTGTTTTCTTTTGTAGCTGATACTTGAGACTGAAAGCAGAGTTATTTATTTCAGCATTTTGGAAACTGACTCATCCCAGGAATTATTGATTAATGAATACAAAGAATCACTGTCTTTTTATGGCTAAACTTTAAGCACCATAACAGTGAAGAAAGCCCTTGATTCAAAGATTTTAGATTGTTTTATATTATACAGATTTTTTATTGCAACTTTCAATTTGGGAATGTTAATTTTTTCATGTGAGAAGACAGGCATGGTCATATTATATATTACAGCTTTATGCAGTTCAATAGAGACTGTTCAACTTGATGTTGTTACAAAAACATACAATTGGTACAAGCATGTTGTGAAATTATAACTGTATATTGTATTAATAACACTTAACTCACTGTATTTCTATACTGAAGAATTATGAAGCAGCTGTTTTAAGTTGATTTAAGATGCCACACACTCGGATAGCTCTCCATGCCCTGCGTTCCATTTTTTTCGCTTTTAGTGGACAATGTTGGGTAAGCTGAGGGTGGACAGCATATTGTTAACCTTATGTTGGACCTCCAATACTGTCTATCATAGCTGAAAATGAGTGAAACTTATCATTTTTTTCTATAATATATTAACATTCTTTCAAGACGTGACCCAAAACAACTAAATTCAACATAGAAAAGCTATTTGATAGGGGTCACATATTTTACAATGTACATGTAAGAATAATGTAAGCTCCTGGATTCAACTGTACGCATTGGTCAACATGGCAAAAACTTTGTGGTTTACTAAAATGAATATGATAATATTCAAACTTTCATCATTTAAACTTATAATTATCCCACACAAGTCAGACTCATATAACATGGAACAGATATGTGGAATAGATAATTATTATAAATATAGATCTACATGTATATAATATATATTCCAATATTAACACAAATAAAAAAGGTAAAGAGGGCCTAGTTGACCAAAGCAGAGTTTATACAAGGCTGATATGATTTGAGGACTAGTTAATTTTAGGTCCAAGCTGACCTGATTGAGCACTTTAACAATACACCCGACACAGTTTCTGCCTGCAAAAGATGCAAGCTATCTAGGTTAATACATTTTCTCCTTTATATAATAATAAAATAAACATTGAACATTTGATAAAATTGACTTTAAATGCATAAAATGTTCTTATAAGACAACTATGTTTATGATCACATGAAACAAAATATGTGTAAGCTTTATACCTGTACCAAGCTTGGTATTTACTGCAAAACAAGGCATGCCTGATTTTCCTGATTTTCCCCTGTGCCTGTGGGTTTTCCCATACGGAACAAAGTTAATAAAACCGCAATTTAAATTTTCGCACTGCACATACAGATATCCACCAAGTCCCTTCTTAATTTCCTTTTGTACACTGTATAACGTCAGTGGAACCGGTCCTAACCTGCACGATTTGCAAAACTTCAAATAAATTTTTTCAACAAGAACACCTAGTTCAATGATTCGCCGCCCGATTTTCCACTGTTGCGTAAGATTCTGGTCACTAAACACTTCAGCAGAATTACCACTTTGCACAGAATTGTCCGTTACATAATTATGTTTAATTAAAATCCTTTCAAACTTCTTAATTTTAACGTTATTTGTTTTTTGACGTACCGGCCACGATAGTTTCGCAAGGGAGCGGCCATATTGCTTCCTGTGAAAACTGACGTCACAGTCGCTTAAAATAGGTTATACGATAAGTGGCGACAAAAGGCGAGGGTAGCTTCGGGCCTTCTACGACGTTTCACGATTTTACCCGATATTTACCGATTTATTAGGGTCCGTAATCCTTAATTCAAAAGAAATTATATCAATATTTATCGATGTGTTATATATATGACACTCAACATTTACAAAACATTTATTGCTATCAAATGAGAGTGTTTTTACCTTTAGCAATCTGGATTATTGGTTTCTGTATACAGATGTTGGTACATTTCACTCGATGGAGCATTGCCTTGCCTATCTAGACCTTCATAAACGTTTTGGTCAGGTATTTCGTAAGTATTAGTATCACACTCGCTTTTTTCTGTGTTAGGTTCTAAGTCAGACATTGCGACTTCATTTGATTGATTCTTTCTTTTTTCTTTCACAGACCGATGCCTGAAATATATCAAACACTAGATTCAGATCCATTAATATAACATATAACCCATACAGTTGACTAGGTTACTGAATGAACAAACAAACGTTATATACACATGTATATTATATACTTGTATATCACATTTTCAGTAATAGAAGTTCTAACCTTTTTAAGAAAAAAATCACAATACTCAGGACTACCATGACAATAGCTATGACACCAGCAAGGGCCAAGCCAATGGTCACTCCTGAAAGAAAGAAAAAAACATATTTTGACTAACTTGAAAGGTATGGTTACAATCATCGATAAAATTTTGAAATCAACGAACGAAACTTTTTTTTTTAAAAATCTTAAGGGTATTCATGTAGCACAAATTGTGACATATATAAACTTATCAGACTATAGTTTTCAAAATATTTTATAATGAATATTTTGTAGTTTATTTTCATACTTTTCCCATCATATTTTTATCAAATCATCTACGCATATAAAATTCATTTTAAACTTTATACTATTCTATCCTTTAGTAAGAATTTAAATTCATCCGCCGTTGTTGACAAGATTTATTAATAAGGCCTAATAAGGTTTCTCTCCATACCTGGATGTATATCAATGTATGTCAGATCTTTACAGGACACAGAACCCATTCAAAGTTTGTCAAAATCTTACTAAAATAATTCATGCTTTTCTTTATGCCTACCAACTATGTTAGTGTCCGAATCTGTACCGTAAGATGTTGATGTTGGATAATCAGAAGATATATTGAATCTTCTTTCTTCTTCGTCTGTATGATAATATGAAAGATGAAATAAATATTTTGTGTAGTTAGTAATATGATGCCTAATTTCACGCTTAACAAAAGCTGTCAATAAATCCTAGAATTGTAATTATTTCAATACATCTAGAAGTAAACATTCATAAAATTTTGTGCTTAGGAGATATTCTATAGGTTTACAACCAGAGTGTTAAATTCGATAGGCAACTTTCTAGAGAGAAATGCAGGTCTGTGGTATAACAAAAGTGCACACCGTTTAATATTAATATGTTGTTGGTTTTTTTTTCATATGACACGACTGAGCCGAAACAGTTTACCTGTAGATATAATAAGACAAACACCCTTCATGTTAAAATCAGATCCTGTTTCAAAAACCAGCTCATTTTCTTTAGTAAAAGTTGAGTTAGCACGTTCTTCTGTTTTGTTCAACACGATGTCGTGTAATTTGAAATAAATTTTTTCAATTTCCGGCGAATATTTACGGAACTTTAATGAAACGCTGCTGTTCAAAAATGCTGGTATTACATTACATTTACATATATTTCTCTGACGTGGCGGTACATCGGCAGTTTCTATGAAAACATGAGTAACCATAGTTACTTCCGAGTGTTTGCAGATACGAACAGCTGAAATAATACATGTAATATGCATGGTATTATGAGACACACGATTAAAAGAAATAGAAAATATACAAAAGTAAAATGATTAAGAAAAGAAACGACGACTTATGTGTGTCCATGCTTCAAATATAATTTGTTCAAATTTGGAACAAACATTATTCTAAAATAAATTACTAAGCTGTAGTTCATTTGATTATTCCCTTATCCTTAGTACGATTGTAATTTTATAACTTATAATGATGAAGATGTTAAAATGTATTTTATGTAATAACATGATAAATATTATGTAAAGTTAAATTGCGTAACGTGTTCTCCTTCGTGTATTGCATTGAATGTCATTGTTGAATTTATATAAGAAAAAGTCAGCGGATCTGTCTTGCAATTTTACATGTTAGATTGTCATTTTTAAATTAGTAAATATTTAATATGGGGCCGTAGAAGAAAAATTAATTCTTGTTGAATACATTACCTGGAGTTCTTTCACCACATTGACCCATGTCACCATTTGTTTCTGTTTGATAGATAATACAACCATATATAATAAACGAAAAGTTGCCACGTGATTAAAGCTAGGGATATCAATCTTAATCACGAAAAATTAGATAATTTGCTATTCTATGTGAATTCCAAAAAAGGAAAATGATTGTTCTTGTGACCAACGTACAAACTTCATATAAAATATCACTGTTTACTTTCCAAGGAATAAACTTTTTTTTCACTTGTCAACTAATACAGAATGGGGAAAAAGAGATAAGTGGATGCTATCTTAAAAGTAAGGAAGTGCATGCATGAGGTTTTATCAAGAAGGATAAAATGTTGGAATATAATTTTACCAGATAGTCAGCTCATAGATTAATGCACCACCAATAAGGAAATTAAAATATGAACATGCTTTTTATTATTGCACCCTCGCATGTGTTCATTTAAATATTGTAGAAAATTAAGTGATCAACATTGATTCTAATAATAGGATATTTTATACCAAATAAATAAAAAATAAATATATTTTTTTGTTTATTTTTCTTTTGTTTTTTTTTTAATTAGTTAGTTAGTTAGTTTGTTTGTTTGTTATGTTTTAAAAAGACTTGTCCAGATCCCGTTTTTGGAACTGTCCAATTAAAGGGATATCAAGGTACAGGATAATCACTTTCTTTCGATTTCAGCAGAATAAGGGTTAGCTTGTTTTTGGAACACTATATATCAATTACATTTTAATCAAATGAACGGAACTGCCTACTGATATCATAAACGCCATTACCAACATGTCTGAATATATAATTCCTCGACAGAAAGCTTCAGGCAGACACCTTATCTACTACAAAAAAGACATGACAGGACAGTTTTAGTACCTATTAAATATATATCATTACCTTATAACTGAAAGTCAGCAAAATTGTCTGCAAAACATATTAGGAGATGATTTAAAAATTAAGTAAACGGGGGACAAAAACTCTTAGTTTGAACCACATGGCTATTTTTTAAACTTACCTTACTTAAAGAAATGAAAATGCAAAATTTTCTTTTAGAACTGTATGAAATAAAAAAGCATTTATCACTGTGCACATACAGATAAAATGAATTTTAAAAATTATCGGAATAGTGAATCCGAACATTACTGTTTATGATTGTAAGAAAATTGCATAATTTTAGACAGAACAGATAATGAAAGTTGAGGAAATAAAAATTCCTAAAATAATTAGGGGTGTAGTAGCCAACCTAGGTTTATTTGGTCATCTCATACACTTGTAACAAATACTACAGATAGATTCACTGCCGTTAAAAACATTCAAGGATCAAATATGATCTTATAAATATGATCTTATTAAATTACGAGATATAATTGATAACTTGGAGACAGGTTAGGTAATAAAAAAATTACAATACTTCAATAATATAAATATCTGGTAAAATAAACATACCTTGAAAAAGGTAAACCACTATATGAAACAAATACACCAGCGTTTTAGTCACTTGCATATTTATCCGTTTCTGTTTTACAATATCACACATCTACTGCTCATTGCATTAACATTAACAATTATAAACTTGAACAGTGTGATAATTTAATAACTATTTCATCCAATCATGTTAACAATTCATGTTAATTGCGTAAAGGTTCAAAAGATGAAACAAAACTTCCTGGTAAGCAGGGTAAAGTATATCATAGGAGACATACAGAAAAAAACAAGCATCATTAGTCATATTATTCTTGTTAGTATGAAAAATATCCTTTTAACTTTATTGCCCTGCCAGGGGCCGTATTCACAACTGATCTTAAGTTATTTTTTAAGTTAAAACATAAGTTGAAAAAAAAATCTTAGCTAAGAAATTATTTTATCTTAAGCTTAAGTCATGTTCAGAAACTTACTTAAGTAAAACTTAGCCAAGATTTTTCTTAAGTTTAAGAAATATCTTAAGCAGTAAATATTTCACTTAAAAAAAATCTTAAGTTGGTTGCTAATGAAAGAGGGGTTTTCCGTTACTAAAAATAGTCACGGAAGTGCTCTTCAATGTCTAAAATTAGAACCGGGTGTTTATACGCTGTCAAATCCAGCTGAAAACATGTACCATAAAAACTAAAAGATGTAGATAATGTGGAAGGGATGGCAACACGAATTATAAAATGAAAATCTATATCTAAGTATAAAACTGTTTTAAGTTTTATAGCCTAAAATGGGAATCAATTTGGGGGAAATATATACTCCATTTATGTTACTTGTCAAGGCCATGGCCTATGTATTGGCAAAACTCAATAGCACATATGAGCCCATTCACAACAAAACCAACATAATGGGTTTGCGACCATTATGTCTCCAGACCAGCCTGCGCATCCATGCAGTCTGATCTGGATCCGTGCTGTTCACTTACAAGCCCTGTTACAAGTAGAGAAACTGGTAGCGAACAGCATGGATCCTGATCAGACTGTGCGGATGCGCAGGCTGGTCTGGATCCATGCTGGTCGCAAACGCATAACGTTGGTTTTGTCGTGATGCGGCTCATATCAGATCACTGAACTTGATGGGGTAGGCTTGCCATTACATCACTTGAATCTTAAAGGATAAAAAATTAAATAATAGGGGGGGGGGGGGGGGGGGCAGAAGAGGCCTTAGTGAAGTGATTTGCTTAAATTTGTATAAATAAGTGTATGAAGCCCATGGTAAAGGTAGAACTTATTTATGCATGGAAAGTTTAACCTAGTACAGACAGATGGCTTAAATTTCATTTTTTTCATTGAAATGTTGCGATAAAAGTTCTTTTAAAATAATACAAAAAGAAGGCATTTAAATTACATGTCATGCTTTTCAGCTGTTCTGCTTCTAAATGATAAATCACCTAGTGTGTAAACAAGTCACAGGTTGTTTTTTTAATTATTTATTCCCTTTTAATTGCATTATCAAATGTAAAACTTTACATGAACAGTTTTTTTTGACATCACACATACATGTTAGAAGAAAATACATATTTCAGAAGCTGTGACCAAGTATATAGCCAATGCTTTCTATTTTTGACATTATGATAGTGCTTGCACTGCAGATTAATGTTTTTAGACATACTGAAAGCTGCCGGCATAGTAGTTTAGAACATTAAGAGGTATGCAAGCTTATATGAGCCGTGTCATGACAAAACCAACATAATGGGTTTGCGACAAGCATGGATCCAGACCAGCCTGCGCATCAGACTGCGCGGATGCAAACCCATTATGTTGGTTTTGTCATGATGCGGCTCATATCTCCAGTTCTGCAGTTTTGACTGTTCTAATTATACAGAAAATTTCATTCAAATGCTCACAAATTCCAAACAATTTTCATGAATAGTTCAAGGATAGCAAAAAAAACAACAAGTAAGATTGAGCTGTCAGAAGAGCAGTGCATTCCAGTTTTCTCAGTGCTTATCTGGATAGTAAACTTCATATTTTCTACAAAAATAGATAATTTGAATAAAATCACATCAACCTTGACTTTGACTAAGCTGGCTGTGCCCACATTTCATAACTGTGTTCTTGACCTTAAAAATCTTATTAAAAATATCAACACAGGTCATTGTGAACCATCACCATGACCTTTTGACCCAAAATGAGTATCATGGCAGGTACAACTCATCATGGTTAAATCTGGTACATACAATTTGTCAAAGTCTGATGTTCCTCAGTTAATGACTATTAAATGGCTAGTTTTATGTTTGGTTACCACAAGTCCCAGTGACTTTGACCCTTTGACCTGAAAATGAGGGGTCCAGGTTGAACTTATCACCCTGGATTCCACATATAAAGTTTTGATGTAATAGATTTGTAAGTATTGTATAATGAAAATCAACAACACCAACAGGTCAGTCATACCGAATGAATATAACATTCATTTTTTCTTCTATAAAAAGTGGAGCTGATAATCTTACTGAAAACAATTACTAGGAAATGTTAATTCTGATCTTAATTCACACAGTTCTTTTTCCATGAATGAAATTTTCTTTCATAGTTATCCTTTTGATAGTCTTCAAGTTTCTCACAAGTTAGAATGTTCATGTGTTTTTCGATGAAAACATTGGACCAATTCCTCTTGCACATTATGAACACAATCGGCAGTGATAGATTTTACATTTTATCACACAAGAAATTTGATAATGACATGTCCTGCATAAAAGTTAGTAACAATAAGGCTCCTTGATGATGTACCCAGGTATGAATCTTTTGGATTACTAGTGGTCTTCTAGAGTTTGATTCCACTGATGTGTTCCAGTGTTTATGAACACAGTAACTGTTAAGTCTTCATTGTTCCTATGTGTTTTTCATGTATTTAGTGTCCATGATTTAAGGTTGCAACAGGTGGTATTTGATGTTATATGCCATGAGCTGTCAGATAGAAAATCTGATACATTATGGTAGTATATAGTCACTACACATTAATCCCGATTCATTCTCCATGTATTTGGTCAATGAAGTAATGCTATGTTCAGCAGCATTACAAGTTATGTAACATGTTGCTACTATGTTGATATCTTTATTCTCCATACTCCAGTCTGGATGACTACAAAATCCGAGGTTCATGAATAGTGTGATATAATCTGAAAATATAAAAAAAAAAATAAAAAAAATATAGGTACATAAATCAACAAAAGCTGCCAAAGGCGACAGCGAAGCTCGACTAATGAAATACTAGACACAGTACGGAACACAAAACTATGAAAAAAATCAATTATGAATAATTATTATTATGTATTAAGAAAAAATTAAGTTATAGTAAAAAAATAACATTTGTTAACATAAATTCCATGTTCAAGGGGGAATAATTGTGGAAATAGTCATGCTAGAGTTATGAAACTTGTCACACAACACGTGTGTAATGATAATAAATATATATTTGAAGTTTAAAGTAGATACCTTAAAAGTAAAGAAGTATTTCTGAAGGTAACTAGAGATAAATCTGTCTATAGTTATGAACCTTGTAACATAAGATGTAATTGATGATAATGAATAAGTATTTGAAGTTTGAGGTAGATATCTTTTAAACTGAAGAAGTTATAGAAAAAACTACATTTTTCAAGTAAAAAAATCTAAGTTATGGGGAGATTGTTCTTGCAATATTGGTGCTAGAGTTATGAACCTTGTCATATAACATGTGGTTAATGATAAGGAACATATATTTGAAGTATGAACTTGATCCCTTAAGAAATAAATAAGTAACAGTAAAAATTAGTATTTTTTAAGGAAAATTCTAAGTTCAAGGGGAGATACATCTGAAAATATTGTGCTAGAGTTATGAACCTTGCCACATAAGATGTGGTTGATGAAAAGTAACATGTATTTGAAGTTTGAAGTTGATACCTTAAGAAAATGAAAAAGTTATAGTGAAAAATAGTTTACTAAACCAAAACTTTAACCTGAAATCTGGAGGCTGACGCCGTGGCAAGTAGGACAGCTCTTCATATTGCAGTTTTAGTTTTAACTGAATATCATTCAAACAAACAAATTGAGCATAATTATGTTGTCACTTATTGAGGTAAATATAAAATATCAACAAATTTCTATATCATTTACCCCATAACAACAAACTCCACTTTAAATGAGATTTCGCACCACAGATTCAACATGATATTAAAAATGTTATTAACAGAAAAATAGTTTTATGATTGGTTAAGTGTCTAACTATGAGTAACACTGAACAACACAACTTAGTGTTCAATTTATAACCTTGAACAGCAAATATGATAATAATAGTATGTGTCTATATTTGGCAGTGTTTTGAACTACATGTATATCTCCTTTATGAAAATTGGGGCTAATTCTGCAATAATCCATGCTAGAGTAAAGTTATGGACCTTGGATGGTGATCTCCAATTTTAATCCTGAATATTAAGTATTAAGTGAATACCTCAGTAGTTTTGAAGATTGATGTAGCATCAGGAACTTCTAGTTCAACAAGAAACATGGCAACGCCATGAAACCAGGTTTTCAATTATCACCATTGTAGATAAATATGTTGTATTTGAAATACAAATACAAGCAACAAACAATGTAACTATGTGCAATGTAAAACATGAATAATGTAGGAGGAATTGCCACAGAAGAAGTGTTCACTATATATTCTGTATAAGGAAAAAAACAAAGGCCATAATTAGGTCAAAAATTATCCAATCACAAAATCCCGACAATATGTGCCAGGGCACTTGATGACAAAGCTTCTGTGAAAGTTTGAGCAAAATCCGTTGAGAAATGTAAGACGAGTTCAGCACAGAAGAAATTGTTCACTATATTCTGTATAAGGAAAAAAACAAAGGGCCATAATTAGATCAAATATATTCCAATCACAAAACCCCGACAATATTCGCCAGGGCACTTGATAACAAAGCTTCTGTGAAATTTTGGTCCAAATCCGTTGAGAAATGTAGGAGAAGTTCAGCACAGAAGAAATTGTTCACTATATATAAAAGGAAAAAAAACAAAGGGCCATAATTTAGGTCAAATATTATCCAATCCCAAAACCCTGACAATATGCCCCAGGGCACTTGATGACAAAGCTTCTGTGAAAGTTTGGTCAAAATCCGTTGAGAAATGTAGGAGGAGTTCCGCACAGAAGAAATTGTTCACTATATATTCTATATAAGGAAAAATAACAATGGGTCATAATTAGGTCAAATATTATCCAATCGCAAAACCCCGACAATATGCCCAAGGGCACTTGATAACAAAGCTTCTGTGAAATTTTGGTCCAAATCCGTTGAGAAATATAGGAGGAGTTGCGCACAGAAGAAATTGTTCACTATATATTCTATATAAGGAAAAATAACAAAGGGTCATAATTAGGTCAAATATTATCCAATCGCAAAACCCTGACAATATGCCCCAGGGCACTTAATGACAAAGCTTCTGTGAAAGTTTGGTTAAAATATGTTAAGAAATATAGGAGGAGTTGCGCACAGAAGAAATTGTTTACGCCCGCCCGCCCGCCCATCCGCCCCGCGACATACGTCAATCTAATAACCATTTTTCCTTCGGAAAACCTGGTTAAAAAGGGTTATAGTTCTGACAAAATCCATGCTAGAGTTATGAGCCTTGGATAATAATCACCAATTATGATCCAAAAAATGTGTGTTAAGTTTCAATTGAATAATTTAATGTTGATGTTGCATGGAAAACTTTAACAGGGTGTCTGTTAGACCCTTCAAATTTCCAAAAGGCCTGATTTGACCCTCAGGTTTTATACTGGAGGGTCAAATTTTGTTAAAATCATAGGGATTTGACCCTGTAGTCTGTAAAACTTGTTCAAAATGACCCTCAGGATTTCATGGCTAGTGGGCTAGCGAACACCCTGCAAAGTTAATACAAACTGATGGCTGATACCCTAGTGTCAGTAAGCTTACAATGTCTAATTTTTTTCAAACCTTTCTTTAGATAGACTATTGAGATTTGACCAACATAATAATACTCATTGAGCTGTTTCATTCCATCATAAATCCATTTTTTTTATTTTTCTTTGAATTCCTTGCGCTAGATTGGGCTGCTTTTGTTTTCTTGCTTTTTATGACTGTCAACCTGCTTCCTATTCTATGTATTTAAGCAACAAGAACCTTTTAGTAAAAGATGGGTTAAAAAAAACAAAACATTTCTATGCATTGTTTTCATTTGACAGCAGCATACATGTCTATCAAAATTTAAGCTTTTGTGCACACAAGTTGATATAATCCAGGGCGCTTCTAGTGAAAAATAAACAGCTCCTGAATGAATCTTTGAGATTGGATTGGGTGTGTGATAAGAATTAAGAGTAATGCCTAAAAATGAGGCAGGAGTATTTGAAGGGGTGGTTTTGAAGATTCATGAAAACAATTCATTTTATTGTTGTTTGATCTCAGAGATACTAAGAAAAGATAACTATTTGAAGTAAAAATACTTAAAAAATTATATAACATAGATTGCACAAAGCATCTTTTATAAATCAAACCCTGGCGCACAATATGTTAGGCTATAATGAGTGACTAAATTTGAAACTCACTGGCTGATGAATGCAAATGCTCGACATTCATGGATTTTATTTTATAGAAAAATCAACATGTTGTGAATGTAGTTGTTTACATAGGCCACTTCCAACAGCCTTGCTGTTGGGTTAACCCTTTAGCTCCTTGTTATCAAAAAGTTTGGGGTTTAAATCCCAGAGAGTGCCTATGTATTTTGGTAACGATTTTCCCCACTTTAGCGACGATTTGTCCAAGCCTTAATATATTTAATAAACATTTTTTAATTCATTTTGACGGAAAAAAGATTATGGTTGTGGTATTTTCTGCATTTATTTGGCATAGATAACATTTTATATAGACTAAGAGATAGAATAAAAAAATATCTGTTTAATGGAACTTACAATTACTAATACCATTTGTATATTTTTATCAAACTTTCAGAGTTAAAATTAATAAATTAAACAAGAAATGTCGAATAACACATATGGCCCCCTTTCTAGCCCTTGACACATTGTTGGTTATTTTGTTATAGAAACTTGCCATAAATGGGTACATGGAAGTGTTCAGTTAATTGGAAAAAAGAAAAGTAATGAAGACTTTGTGATAAATAATTTTCAAGATAATGAGCAGACAGTATTCAATTTCTGACATTTAAGGCCTTTGTGATCTTGACCTTTGAACTAGTGACCCAAAATCAATAGGGGTCATCTAATAGTTATGACTAATCAATATTAGAAATATGAAGACTTTGTGATAAGTAGCTTTCAAGATAATGAACCCATACCAACAAAATGAAGTGAAAAAACTGAAACAATATTATATCATTTGCATGGAACATATTTATAATACATTTGTAATAAAATTTTATCTCTAACACTTTTAGCGGGCATTGAAAATGACAAGAAGGTTCTTTGCTCACCAATACAAGATAAAACGCAACTGTTTTTCATGATTGCACAATTACGCTACTGTATAATTGACATTAAAGTCTGTGGGTCAATATCCAGCAGTAGTTAGATCATGACAAAGTATTTTTAATAATTAAAACTTGTAAATAACATGTACAGAATTAAAGGTGAATTTATTTCTGATAGATCACAGTCTTTGTTTTCTTTATATAACTACTAACCGAAAAAGGTACTGTTCCCAATGGAAAAAAGACATGAAAATTCCAAATTTCTAATGTGAAAATTCTCAAAATGACTGTTCAAAATTCCCACAAGTTCATGAGATTTCTCTCAAATCATTATGTTTATATTCTTATTTGTAGCTGAAAATATGCTTAATAAAATTTGAGTCAAAATAATGCATGTTTCCCCAATCAGTCATGTACCGGCACCAATAACCAAAGTAGAGAGAGAAAAAAACGCTGGATCTATCCGATATCTTGCCATAATGATAATATAAATGGCCGAGCATCATCGGTAATTTTTGTACGGCTACAGTAGCCACAACAGTGTGTATAGGCTAGAGGTATATGACTCACTTACAGTTAGAACTTTTGGCACCCAGTACGGGCCCGTGGGGTTACCCATTCATATGCTAAATACAAAGAATATTTTATTTCAAAAATAAACGGTTACCAAATGAAACATTTTATCTTTTCATTTCTTTATTTTGATAGCCTAAAGGACGATTAAAATGATTATTCTAAAGTGGGACGAATCGTCACTAATCTAAGCGAATAATCAATAAAGTGGGGCCGAAACGTTAATATTGGGGGCTATATCCTGGATTAAACCCCGGGGTCTAAACCATGAGTATATATAAGGTTCATTCCGTTTTCTCTAGTGTATTATATACAAATTTTACTCCTGAAAAATACATAGGGGTCTAAACTAGGAGATTGCCATATTGGGCGGCAAATCATTATCAATTCAGCATTTTTCAGGTTTTCAATAAACACAACGGTAATACGGAACATTATCAATTTGTACATGTAAATTATTCAATTAAAAAATCCGCTAAGCATTGCAAGTTGTAGTTAATCCGCAATTTTCAGTGATAAGAGTCATTAGTGATTCTCGCGAAAACCAGTGACATTCCAAATAAACACTCGTAAGCGTTTAGCGGTTATGTTTTTCTCTAAGAACAACACACAAACCTACATTTTACATTTTTCTTTGCACAAATATTTTCTTTACAAGTACTTACCAGCAAGAAACTGACGATCATTCAGTGATTCATTCTCCGGTTTGTGAAATCAGCGTCTCCTTTGCGTCTTCAATTTTTGCCGATTTAACTCCCTTGTTTTACTCACATATATCGTGTGTATAAATTTCTTTGAACGAAATCATTATTGCTGTAATTATTGGCGTTGATTACCTCCATGAAATATCTTATATCAGTTAAAAACGAAAGTTTTCAATCGAATCGACGATTTACTGTCCGCCATTTTTAAGATAATTTACTGCCAAGTTAAGAAATTTCTTAACTTTAAGATAGGGTAGTAGCTGACTTATATTTAAGACAAAAATTGTCCATCTTAAGACAAAACTTAAGATAAAAACAGTTGTGAATACTACTTAAGTAAATTGTGGCTTCTTATCTTAAATCTAAGAAAATTTCTCAAAATATAAGAAAAATCTTATATTTAAGTCAAAAAATTAACTTAAGATCAGTTGTGAATACGGCCCCTGGTATAAGAGTATTTTCCTATTGATAACAAAGTCGGGCGTTATCATAAACGTTAGAATATTAATGCGGATTAAAGAGAAACTAAATGTAAAGCATGAGTTTTTTTTAAGAAGCTTAGCACGACTAATTATACCATCACTAACAGGGACATAATATTATGACTTCCTTGTCATAGAATTTAAGTTTAATACATGTAATAAGGGATGTAGGTCACGTGAAATATATCCTATTTCAAATATGAAAGGTAAAAGTTGTCAATGTGTGATCTTTATAAACAAATGGTGACTTTTTTTCTAATAAAATAAAATATTTCTAATTAAGCTGATGTTAAATATTCCTTAACATTTGTCATTATTGAAAAGAATGGCGTCATTTTTCAATTGGACGGGATTTTTCATAGAGCCAGCATAGCTCAATCGGTTAGAGCGCGTAACTTGTAATCTCGACATTGTGGGTTCGATTCCCGGGCTGACAAATAAAAATTACTAATCGGATACTTTCGGGTGAGAATTTAAATCGAAATGTACGAGTACTTAATTAAACACTTGGCATGCTAAAGAACCAATAGAAGCTTTACCATCCTCCAACATATGAAATGACTAATAACTCTTACGAAGGACTCGAGTATGAATACACTCAAATAAACATATACATCTAGAATTACAATGTATTTATTGAATGTCTATTCAACATTTTCCTAAGAAATACTTGATGAAAATTACATGGTTTATACATGCATATTAAAACATAACAGTTTTAAGTCGCCAAAACATAATCTATTTAGATATTTCTTTCAATGTTTGAGAAAATTACAGTTTGTATCATGTCTCGCATTTATATGTCAACCCTAATAAAAGAAACTGTTTATTTGTAATTCCGAAAGAAAAAACAAACTATTTGTGCACCCGTGAAAAATCCAGATATTATATTTTGAAAGAATTCAGGCACATTGTCGTCATTCATAGGAAGTTCTTTTGACATCTCCTGAAGGGTAAGGCTTCATACAGTAGCACGGTTCGAGTGGGTATAGACAAACGTGTCCAAAACGATTCCGACATTGGCCCTCGCAACATTGATGTGGTCCGGGGATACACGACTCCCCAGTGTACAGACACTGGAATGAAAGAATAAAACAATAACCATTGCCCAAGTTCACTTCAATAAAGCTACAAACGGTATACAAATGGTATAAAATGAAATGAAAATAAAAGGGAAAAGGCCGAGAGACAGAAGCGTAAACGTTATAAGCGGTACCTCGTTAAATATGTAGAGTACGATCCATTAGTAAAGTTTGATATAGATAAAAAGATAAATTCGAATGTAAGTTGTTTTAGAAAAAAACAGATTGGTAGATGTTCACTAAAATTTTTAAAAGGCAGAAGATAATGCCAATGCAATGAACATTGTATATTAATTAACAGGTAATTGCTATATAGTTGTTTTATTTTTATACATAAAACAAAACAAACTAAATATAAATAATCTAATAAAAATATATAAACGGGTAGGAACATAGTGTAGACCATAATAAATAAATAAGTAAATAAATAAATAAAATATCATAAAATCAGTAAAAGTAAAACTCACCGCGTCTTGAATTTGTTTTTGTCGCTCCTGTCTCAGATATCTATATAAGTAATTATTATCATCCATTGTTTCATAGCCAGAACAGCCCAAAACTAACAGATTAAATATACATACGACAATAATTGAATACATTCTGTTACAATTTCACTTTCTGCAATGGCAATAAGTGAAGCTTTTGATGCTGCCTGTAATAGAATAAGCACGGACTTATCCAAAATCTGTCTGTTGACTGGTTTTAATATCAATAATTGGACGGAAAGGTTATTTATGATCATCTTTTTAATCCAATAAAACACCTCTGATGCATGATTACTATAATTAATCAAAAGATACAAATGTAGTTACAAGTGGATGTCCAGCAGACATGTGACAAAGGGATTCATGAACATCATGTTGTCACATATCATCAAATAATTGAATAAGAACTACACCATAAAGAAATTGATTAACAGCAATAATAGTTTTATGAATGAAAGAGGAATAATTTCCCCCTGATTTTTATGGCATTTTGAAGAAACATTTGAACACTTGTTTTACTTTTCATTCTGTCAACAGAATTACTAAAAGCATTTGGTGTTTCTAATTGTTAAATATTTCACCTTGTCACTTGAGTGATTATTGTTTATGTACAAATTTTTAATACGCTATTATACCAATGCTTGTTTAATCTTTCTATAACTTATTCAAATAAAATTTCCTGAAACTATGTTGATGCTAGCTTACGAAACGTTGGCGGTGGTCGTGCCTGAAATAATGTACTGAGAGGCATCCGAGATCCTTTTTCACCAGTAAAGCTGGATAGTCGCGATATGATCTCTACATTGAGACTTTATTTGATTGATTGTTTGGTCTCTGTTCTTCAACCGCCCGATGCCTGAAATATACAAGATACTTGATCCATCATTACAACTCTTATTTTAATAGGAAATCATGATAAAATTAATGCATTGTAATGTTATGGATGGGATGTAACTTTATTATAAGCAACACATGTGCAATTGTTATTACCATGTACTTTTGAAAATAACATCTTAATCACAAACACATTTGAAACTGCTACTGCTCATAGAACATTTATACAAATACCTGTAGAATTAACACATTTGCAAAATTAATGTAACTACAAATAGTTAGTAAACAATAACAGTACAATGTGCAATACTGTTAATCACTGGAATTAGCTACTGTTGCTACCAAGTAATACCTGACGCACATGTCGTTTTGAACATTATTTCGCAAATCATACGTCGTGTTTCAAATAGTTTATTTTCTCAGTAATTTATCGCAGAACAAAAAGGCACACAAAAAATGAAATAAAAAAATGAATAAAATGAAACTTTATACATATCATGATATCATGTGCGATATTGTATATTTTGTAGAAATAGAGATATAGAAGACGAATATCACTTTGTCATGGTATGTCCAGTATACGCTAATATAAGGAAAGAATTCATTAAAGCATATTTTTAAAGAAGGCCAAATGTAATGAAGTTTAAAGAGCTTTTGAATAGAATAGAGCTTTAGAAATGTGATAATTGTGTTACTGTTGTAAATCTGGGAAAATTCTTATATAACGCATTTAATTTAAGAAATACTTTACTGTTTATTAATAATTTAAAACAACAAAGCTGTCTTATTAACTAGAAAATGTGCGTTGCTGGTTCATCCTCCTTGAAATATCTGTATTTATTTTTGTGATAAAAATTGTAATAATATTGTTTAACTTTATGTGATCACTTGACAAATATATGTTTGTGAATATATGTAAAATGTATGACAAAAAACTGTACTGTTAACATCAATAAAATTTCCTGACTTCTGTCTTTCTGTCACGGAAATGATTACCAAGATGACAATGACACTGCAACTAAGTGCCGGTTACACAATCAGGGATACATTGAAAGAATAAGTCGATTCATGAAAACCTAATTAAAAAACAAAAGCAATGCAGTAACAAGTTGTTCAAGCATATTTTGTTTTGTTTTTGTAATACTGTTAAAAACAAAATTATCAGACACTTAATGTATCTTGTTCATGCAATATATTTGTAGGTTTTATTTATTACAGAAAATATGAAAATAAATAACAACAAGTAAGAAATTCTTTGAAAACATATTTTAAGTTTATGAATAAACTTGTTTTATCTTATAAAGAAAAAATATATGTGCTACAATTAATTAATTGATTTATTACTCTCACGTTTCTGTTATTTTTATCTTAATACACACTCAGTATATGGTTTTATCCGACTGTTGTTTTTTCAAAATACTTGTTTGTACTCACTCTTGAACTTGTGTCAGGATGTAACGATGATGATGTCATTGCTATTGTTGTATGAGGCAATGTACGGTAGCATAGAACATGTCAAATGTTAGTTATAATATATAAAAAGAAAAGAAAACACACGAAAACTTGCAATAAGGACTCGAACCAAGCAGTCCTTGGAATGTCGGTTCAGTATGCTAACCACTACACCACAGGAACCATTGCATTTTTTTCTGCGTGCTTGTTGACATGATAAATGTAAGTTATTTTTTACTTTATATTCTGTGAGTATGTTGTAAGATTTGGCATTGTAATTGTAATTAAGGTTGCATTATATCATTTACTACGACGCTATAGTTATTTTGTTCTACCGATACATGTGTATTTATATATGTCATGCGAGCATTCATTAAATAAATTTTAGTTTCGTCCCTGGTTTTCACTTCTGGAAGGCGTGCAAGACACTTTTAGTTGAAACAATTTATAACACATAGGAATGTAAGTAAATCTCATCTTGTCAGTGACATATTAAGTCTATTCTTATCAGAATTGTTTTTGATTTACAAAACGATTAAGACGATTAAGAAAACTAAATGTTTTTTATAATTATCACTTTTCATTAATAGATTATGAATATTCTTCGGTCAGTTTTTATAATATGTGGCGTAAGTTAACATCAGTTAACATGAATACAAAAACTGGTAAAAATATTGAATGGTTCACATAATGCGATCAGACAAAAAGGATCATGATAGGACTGATTTTGTTATGTAACAACTGGTTTATATATTTTAAATATATGTAGAAATAACATGACGTATCATCACACCTGAATAAACCATCAAGCAAGCGCCTTCATATGTGTAATTATCAATAGTTAGGACAGAAAGCGTGAGACTTCGATCCTCTGTTGTGAATGTATCTTGCTCTCCTGTCTTAATTTCATTGTCGTTGACTCTAAAGCTTCAACTTTGAGGAAACATGCCATTAGCAAAAGAGAATGTAATATTGACATCCTAAGTTTTTGCAGTTATCAAACACTCACAAAATGTCTGTTGAAATTTCGGAACTCCTGTTGTTATATAGACAAGTTTAAGTGCCATCAAGGTGTTTTTACAAATTTCTACAACTAGATGTATCAAAACAAGAAACGCTTAAATTATCATAATCGATATCATACTTTTGAATGTAAATTTATCCGACAGAATACGTATTCCTAATAGAAATATCAATGGCGTTTTCCTCAAGAAAAGAAATAAAATTAATCGTCTTCATTCTGCAATTATATGCATATTTAAAAACACCGATTAAAATATCTTAAACAACAACAAATAAAACTTTAATAGTGTTTGGCCTGATCTGATAGCCTTAGGACTGTAATATTTGGCGGAATTGTAAACTGAATACTGAAAGAATATCCCTTTTGCATAAGGAATAACATAGGACATTGTATTCTCACTTCGCTATATACTTAAAACTCCTTTTGAATGACATTGTCTCATTATGATTAACATTTTTGCCAAAAGTTCAAAAGATCAAAGAAAAGTAGATATCATCTTATGTATGAACATGTATATATCTTTATTCTGATAAAAAGGGGTATTTATGACAAACGTACCTGGTTTATATTCATTGTCACAAAGTCGTGATTGACCGTTTAAATCTGAAATACATATCGTAGTATTATTACACTTATTACAAACGACGATTAGCTTTTCACATATTAAGTATTACCATATTCTTGCTTTTAGTTCCTTAATGACAATTTCCATTTTTACTTATATAATTAGCCATTATGATGCAATGATGTAGAAAGATAAAAAAAATCATGGAATATTTTGTAGCAAACATTACACAGTGAAGTTTTGATTCGATTAACTTTATAAATTACCCATTTCTATTGTTTATAGATTTGCCTATGACATAAATAACATGAAGTTACTTACCATGTATACAACATATGAGAAGGAAGATCAAGAATAAAATCATCATTGATATCCTTGTTTCAACAAATAATATAACTTGTTTGCTTAAACAACTAATTTACCATTTAAAAACACCTAACATAAATTGTTTACAATATGAAAAACAAATTGACTCGACTTTTAAGATGAATGTTTAAATAGTTGGTTGGTTGAGCGATTTTGTTTATACCTATATTCTTCCTTTTCATTCAATGTGTATATATATTTTTACATTTACTTCGGGTAAATGTAATATTGAATTTGTAAACATCTGTGCATTTCAGTGGAAAAGGAAAAACGTTAAAGTTTATATATCATGTTACACAGCTAGACTTAGCATTTTCATATATTCATCAAAAAATAGATAAACAAATAAAGTTAAATAAATTAGTTGTTTCATCATAAACAGACGAATTTTAATCCAGCTAGATTTTTCGTTTTGTTGCTACCGATTCATCTCCCTTTTTCAGAATATATATATGAATTTCGTTTTGATTCAACAAGTGTTCCTATCAGTGCAACTTTCAAAATTGTACCTTACATGGCTGGCAATATTAAATTAATTATCATCTTATATTTTCTTTCATTGTATCTTGAATAAGCCGTTTGTGTATTAAAATAATTAGAAAGGGTGAATTTTCAGGAAATTTATTTTAAATTTGCTCTTCCCTGAGGATGCATCACGGAGAAAACCAAAACATTGTAAGGACTGAACATGGCTGACAGCTACCCGATATCAGAAGTTTTATTTTCTGTTGTCAAAGGTATAAATAACGTATCAAAAGAAAGCTTGACATAAAGTTTCACAAACAAAAAACAACGTTCCAAACAAAAGTGTGACTTAAAGTTGGACGAACATAGTCCAAATCATTCATAGCAAATGTGATATAAATATCACATGCTATTCTCCTATCAAACAGATAGGGCAAACAAGTGCATTTGAAAAGAATGCGTACACGTCATATGGCGTCAGATATGACATCTATAAACCAAATGAGGTCAAGAAAATTACTTCTACGCTTAATATAGTTCAACATATTTTTATCAATTCTCTTTTTAATTATCATGTTAGAATGGAAAATAGATATTCATTTTGTGTGCATTATACTATAACTATGCGTGTTTATTATATTTTTTAAATCAAAATTGATATTAATTGTCACGGAAAATATAAGCAAACTGTATATGATATGTCTTTTAACATGGAGAAACATAATTAAGATTCGGTATGAGCCGTGTATGACATGACTTGTCACAATACAAGGGTGACGAGGAGGAACGTAAAAAAAGAGACATTTTAATCATTTCTTTAAATTAGCGATTTTTGTGTAGTATTGAAAACAGATTGGAATGCATTCAACCTTATGATTGGGGAGTAAAGTAAATAAAAAGGTGAAAAGGGGCCCATCTATTAAATTTAAACTCATTTATATCTTTATATTCTATAAATTGTTGTTTTATCTATTTTTTTTATTTTTCCATAGTAACATCCTAGCAGTGTAAAAATGCAAGTCCAGTCAACTGATGTCAGAGCAAGGTATTGTCTTTAACAGCAGCATCAAAACAATCTCTAGCAGGGATAGTTAACTTGGCAATTAAAAAATATTTAAAAAAACTTGATTATTCTTCTGATTTTATTTCAAAAACAAATCTGGATAATAAAACATACACATTTTGTACAACATCTCTTAAGCTAAATATAACATAACATATCATTACTTTTACAACAAGAAACATGATGCTAGATTTAGCAAACATTTGCAATATCTGAATATGCAGTATAATTATGCTAAATGAAGGTAAAATAGAAATTCATTCGTGCTATCAATGTGCATGTACATCAGTTATTTCAAAGCACAAAATTAATAAATTCTAACATGTTCTAGAACATCAAACACATTTACAAATTTCGAATTGGCCGCTTTCTTTTTCATTCTTTTTTTTCAAAAATAGATCGGTAACATAATGTAGAAGAGATATGATGATCTTATTCAGTTCCTCTTGTAGATCATATGAGCATTTCATAACTTTATCATTGAAATGTTACATTTCATGGTCATCCGCTGATTGAAAACTCACAAAACTGTTACTTAATTTGTATCTTCTCATCGTTTATGGACGAATGCTTGACACCAAGAACACTTGATATATGGAAGAACTGTTAAAAATCTTAGATATCACAATCGCATCCTTATAAATCTAACAACTTGTACACAGTTATCACTGCAAAAACTGTGAATTAAATAACACTGTCTAAGTAATATACAATTCAATAATAAAAAAACCCTAAAACTACTTAATAGTTTTGCATAGATATGCTGATTATCTTAATATAATGTGCTTATTATATTTCGATGGAATGTGAAGATTAGTTCTTTTACACTAGAAATAATACTTAACCGACCAATACGTTCACCAAATTAAATCTTTCTCAATTTTAGGGTATAATATCACACTACAATTATGGTGTATAAATCTTATAACTATCTTTCTATATGTAGTGAAATTGTAAGTTTCTCACAATGAATGAAATACACAATTTATGCTTAGTCGTTTATAATGAATTTTTACTGAAAACTTTACCTCATACTTATTATTCAAATGATTCCTTTTCTTATCTAAAGCATTGGTCTGGAACAACTACCTTTTACTATTCAGCAATATTTAACATTATAATCTTTTAATACCAGCTGTAAAGTTGTTTTTTTTTTCTTATTCTAAAATTAGACACATGATGATAACTGAAACCACTTTTAATTGTAAGCTATTTATGATGATAATTTTATTATAATGAGTTAATCTATAAATAATATGATTAATACGAGTGTCAGTCGGTTGAATGAATAAAAATATCTTAGCTCTACATTAAAATGATATATAGAATTTTCTTTGTTATAAATCATTTGCTCTTTTTTATTGGTATTGTTAAATCATAAGGCCGTATTGAAAATAAGTATACATGTTCCCGTTTTGTGTATCTGTTACTCTTATAAATCAAAATTCATCATATCAATTTATTATAGATGCTTCATATGTATGCATGGAATCTATCATATAATTGAAGTTTTTTTCTCAACACAAATCTTACAATTTTTGCAACACATTTAGCTTCAATATATGTATCTTAACTCTATTGTTTCGCAAGTTTTAGCGTCCATTTAGGTCACGCGTTATTCCGATGTCTGGTTTAAAGAGAGCTTATGCCTATAAGAAAAGACAAACTCGTGTTCCTTAATTATAAGTATTGTCGTTCTAAATATGTGTCATTTGTCTTTTTGTAGTGTTTGGTACATATGATCAGTTGCGTTAGTTTTATAAAATTCATATTCATTTGACGATATCTCACGATGTATGCTGTCACAAATACTATCTTTATCCGGCATATTGTTATGCCCTTTTCAAACTGTGTCCGACTGTCGGTGACTTAGGTTTTGAGTTTTGCTGTAAAGATATTACAATGAATTATCGAAATAAATTATAATAAACACCATAATGACCCGTAACTTATTTTTAAGACGGTACGTTATTTTTGCGATATACTTTGAATATGACATACATATGCTGTAATTTATTAGAATGATGATGCAAATGTACATTAATTGATTTAACCATAGGAGAAAATGCAATATTTGAATTTACCATTAAATGGTGTTGTTCCCAATAAACCATATGGGGAATTTTCAAAATAACTGTTAACATTTCATCAAACAAAAATACAAATTGAAATGAAGTAAAATTATTCCATTGTTAATTCATTTGTTACTCCTTTATGTTTTGTATTAATTGTCTGGCTAACATTACAGGAGAAATCTCACGTGCCTTTAGGCACAGTACTAGTCAAATTACAGTCACGCGATTCAAAGGACGGAAAATATACCACTTTGTATATCAAGCTTGGTAGATAGTGAATGCAACCTCTATTGTATGCAGCGAGTATGTTTTATTCTTTCTTTATTCAAAAGAAATTATATCAACAAGAGCCATGACAACGTAGCCATCCCCCGCCGAATATCTTTGCTCATTGGAAGAATGTATATGTCGTAGATCGGAATAATTCAATTTTAAGAGGTGTTTTGGTGGCTAAAGTGATTACAGATTTGAAACCTATGTGAATACTGATGGCTGAAAAAAACAAAGGGCAATTACTGAAAAATAATGCAGGGTAAGTTATCATTCTTGTGTGCTGCACTCAATGAGATCTATCAGCTTATGAAGTTCCAAGTTAGTTCCTCTAACACTTTTGAGATAAGGTTCGGACAAAAGTATGAAAAATAACGAAGGGCAATAACTCAAAAGCATTCCTCCTCAATAAGATTAATCCACGGATAAATTTTCATGTTGATATCGCAAACACGTTTATAGTTATGCTTCTCTCAGGTGAAAAATGAAGTATGAAAAATAACAAAGGGCAATAACTTAAAAATTATGAAGGGTAGAGTTATCACTCTTGTGCACTGCAAACTTCCTGAGTGAGATATATCCACCTATAAAGTTTGATACTGATATCTCAAAGGCTTTTTGAGTTATTATCGGGACAAAAATTATGTTTGAAATAATATAACTGAAAAATTATGCAGGGTGGAGATATCTTTCTTGTGCACTGCACTCCCCCTCCACCTATGAAATATCAAGTTGATACCACAAATACTTTAAGAGATATGCTCCAGACAAAAATGTCAGACGGAAGGACGGACAGACTGATTGACAGAAGGACAGATAGACGAAGAGAGACTTAGTTATATTTTGAGTTTCAAGTGAATATCGTATATAGTAAATACTTAATAACTTACTGTCTGGACAAAAAATAAGCATGAAAAATAACAAAAGGCAATAACTGAAAAATTATGGACGGTAGCGTTATCATTCTTGTGCGCTGCACTCCTCCTCAATAAAATCTATCTACCTATGAAGTTTCAAGTTCATACCTCAAATACCTTTTTTGAGATAAGCTCCGGACAAAATAGTATGAAAAAGAACAAAGTGCAATAACTCAAAAATTATCATTCTTGCGCACAGCATTCCTCCTCAATAAGATATATCCAACTATGACATTTCATGTTGACATCTCAAACACTTTTGAGTTATGCTCTACTCAAATGAAAAATTATATAT